TCTCAAGGAGAATAGAACAATTGATCATCGTTTGTAGAAGAGTTGGCAAATCTTTTGAGATTTTATGGATGTGTATGTAGAACAATACACCAGTCATGTGGATCATTTCTGAAATTTTTGGGTTGCTGCATCAAATGGATGTTCACATGTATTTTATTTAGTCGCAACTAGATGTTTGCGAGATTGGTTGCCTCACTATGGATACATTCTGATGGTTATCCAATCAAACATCACTTTGCTTATGAGAACAAGCCGAGCCTTCCTTTCTCTTGTCGAGGACATGCTAGCTGGCAAGTGATTGTATTGGTTCGCATCTAACTAACAAGTTATAATAAGTTCCCCTTTTACAAAAAATGATTTTGGTAAAAAACCTAACATTTCTCATATGAGAATATCAGGGTGTGTCGTATACATCCCAATTGCTCCACCACATTATCTTAAGTTAATTCTCGTTGGAAATTGAGAACTTGTCTTGGGTATGAATCCCAAATTGGAAATTTGTTTGCAAAATTATTGTTTTGATGAATCACTTTTCCAATCTTAAGGGGGAGAGAAAAAACAGTTAGACAAAGAGATGAGTTGGAATGAGTTATTATTATCTAGTTTTGATTCTCAAAGTAAGAAACATGAACCTGAAGTTCATAAGATGATTTATCATTACCAACTATCAAATACCTTTACTGACTATACAAAGTGACCAAGTTATATATACTAGATGTTTTACTCTATTGATGCATGCAAATGATGATGTTATTGGCCAACATAGAAAGAATCATGAAACTTGCTCAAAGAGCATAAAGTTTAAGGACCAGAAGTCCTTACACCTGAAAAGGGTAAAAATAGAGGGATACAAACAAAATTTTGTGCTATTGGAAAAATAAAATTGTGAGAGATATAGCACAATTTTTTCCAATGTGTTTCTCGAAGAGACCTATCATGTTTGAGATGAGTTATTCTCCCTTGTGGTGGATGCAACTGCTTTTTCAAATCAATGTTTGAAAATTATTGTGATAGCCTATTTGTTTGAATTCACTGAAGATGTTATATATATTTGAAACTCCCAGAATGATTAATTACTCCTAGAAGGATTAATTTACCTGAAGTAAACAAGTAAAGTTATCGAGAACATATATCGGTAGACTAAGAAAATCCCTTGTGTGGGTTGAGACAATATAGACAAATGTAAAATACTCATCTAAGTGAACACCTACAACAGTAGGGTGAATGGACCATAAAAGGTTAAATTCGGATAGCGTGCATAAGAGTATTTGCATTGTGCATATATAGTTGTGTTCTCTCTATGTGTTTCAAGGATTTTAAATTCTTGATTTATGAGTTGTGATTTACTTAAAAGTATGAGTTGTGTTTTATGAGCTATTGTGCTTTGTCTAGTTCATACGTTTCTATGATATGAGTTTTGTTATTATCTTTCGTTATATGAAAGAATTGTTTGCATCAATTTGTGTTAGTTAAGGTTTTTTGTGACGATCTCATATTATGTTGATGATATGACTATTATTGGAGCTCCTGAAGAGCTTCATAAAGCAATTGATTTCTTAGAGACATAAGTTAAATTGAAGGATTTAAGATCCTTTTTATGGACAAGGAAGATAATGTTGAAAAAGTGGGAAAGTAATTTTGCATGAGCAAATTGTGTTCATCAAATAACATTAGTATCCTAAGATCACTAGAAGTAATCAAACATCCATTTAGGCATCAAGAAAGAAGTGAAACATTAGGTCCTGAAGTACCATATGTTGATGCATCAGAGCACCAATGCACCTTGCTAGCCAAGCACCATATAAACTATCATTTTGGTGTTGATAATATTGGCAAGATACTCCCTCATTAGAACGTTGGAAAATATTTGTTACCTCCGGGAACAATATATGAGATTGTTCTATTATGATATTATCAAAGAGAGATTTGGTAAACTATATATCCAAATTCTATATATCATTTGATCCTCATATTGGTTGATCGAAGACGAGCTATCTCTTACATATGGTGATATATATGTTTCATAAGGAAACAAAACAATCTATAATAGGCAAGTCCTAAATGTCTTTCGTTACACTTTGTGATCCACCATATCTCAAGTACTTGTGGTTGTGAACTATTTTCAAATAAAATGATCCTGACGATCAAGTATGAAGAAAATCTATAGATCATGCATCAAATTGACAATCTAGAAGATTGTTCACTAACTCACTCTCGACAACAATCTTTCTAAAAGTTGTTCGTGAAATTTGAGTTCAACGACTCAAAAATCAGAAGTGAAGTGGTCACGAAGGGGAGCATATACGGACTGCACTCTTTTTCCCTTAACCATGATTTTTTCCAAATGGATTTTCATGGTAAGGTTTTTAATGAGGCAGTATGAGATAGCGTAATGCAATCTAGTGGTCATCCAAGGGGGGAGTATTATGTAAATATTGATATATGGATGACCAATGACCTACCACATTAAATGCTCACATGTGAGTTACATGTAACCCCTATTTCTACATCCTTATCTCTCATCCATATGCATTGAATATAAGAATGTAGTGGTTATCAAAGTGTGCCTATAAATAGAGCACATAATTTTATCAAAAGTGAAGAATGAATAAGAAGAACGCTTCCCCTCTTTTGGCTCAAGATAGGGTGCATAAACCATCAATAACTAAATCTGGACCATTCATTTTAAAAATCCAGATCTAAGCATGGAGAATTAAAAGCCATTTTTATTTTCCTAGCTTTCTAAATCGGCTCATATATTATTCGTTTGAACTTCGATTTTAATTTTTTTTGCACATATGAAACGAGTTCGTTGTGCTCTACGAAACGAGATCCATTTTCAATACTTTTTGAGAAATTTTTTTCTTGCCTCTCGGTACCAACTGCATACCATATGGTATCTTCTTCGTTTTTAATTCGTTTTTGAAAACGTTTGCACTGAAGGAACGAGTTCATCATGATCTATTGGATCTACAAATTTCTGGGTGAACAAATTACAGGACCAATCAATACCACACAATATCACCCTGGTACGGGGTGGTATCTTGTGGTACACAATGTTAAAAGTCGTAAATGACAGTGAACAATTAATATACTTCTAATATGATGTATTCAATCATCCTATAGTCTTTGTTTGCTCGTACCACCATGATACGCTTTTCAAGCCATATGTATGGTCTTATTTTAATACTATATATGGTATAGACTGGTAAAAAATTTCTCAATTTTTGTTTCTTCTTAAAATATATCAAAGTGGGTCTAATTTTGAAGAACACATTTAATCTGATTTATCTGTGCGAACAAATATAAATTTCGACTTAAAATGAAAGAGAAAGCATCCGTTAAAGATTAAAAGTGAAAAGATAAAAGGCTTTCCAGAAGAGAGAGATGCTGATGTCATGTTGATGTGGACGTGTTACTCATCGTTACTCACCGGATCTGTTCCCTTTTTTCTCTTGTGTGTTTCACTCTCTATATTTTCTATTATTAGTAATATAATTTTTGTTTTTTCTCGAAATTGAACTACGTTGTTTTATATGATACAATCAAAGTATCCTTCGTAAAAACCCAATAAATTAAAAGCCCCTCACAAACAAGTTTCTAACGATGATGATGATGATTATTATGATTAATAATAATAATAATAATAATAATAATAATAATAATAATAATAATAATAATAATAATAATAATAATGTATGTATGTCTGTCTGTGTGTCTGTCTTGATCCAAAAATATTCAGTGAAATATTCCCACATGCATCATGCATGGTGCGCTGGATTAAGACAGGCTGTTTAAGTGTTTATAGTAATCAAGTCGGCCACTTGGTACAATTATGCAGCGTTAATCCATTGTTGTGGGAAATATATATAAAAAATTCGGCCACCTGGCTTCCCTAGCTACTGCGTATATAAATATGGTCAAGAATCTTGAACTGAGCAAGTCCCACTACCTCTTACCATCAAATTAAGTAACTTAACTCAAATTAAGCCCGTATTAAGAATGTCTGCGTCATATTCAACTTCAGATGAAGCAGCAGAAACCACTCTGCTCATTCGTCCAACTGCCCCCTATCCTCCCACGTTGTGGGTGGACGATTTTCTCACCCTACAGGTTCGTACGTACTCTTCATCCCTATAAATATTAGGGCTGTATATATGCTTCTACACAATGTATTTTTATTAAATATGTCTGTCTAGTATTTTTACATCAAACGAGTTTATGGATTTTGAAATAGTTATTAAATATGCTGTTCAGTTAATATTTTCATCCAAAAATCCTCAATTATGGTCAAACCGTGGTTCGGACGACATGAACTCGACGAAATGGAGGGAAAATGTTGGTTTTGCCTCTTTGTAAATTTCTCTGAGTCTCGATAAAGTGAAATTAATATAGGTATTGGGCTATATAAAACAAAACAAAAAATATTTAAGTGCATTAGGGATATATTAGACATTTGCGTCTCGCAAAGCAAGGTTCGATAATTTTGACATAATAGCATATTTGATAATTTTTTCAAAATACAGCAACATGTTTGACTTAAAAAATAGGTTTAATACACTTGTATATCCAAAACTTTCACGGTTGGGCCAATAATATCCAAATTTCCCGGAATATCACTTATATCCATGTTTTAAAGTTGTTCTTTGCCAAACTATCCATTTCCCAATGTATTTTTGGTTAAATACACTTGTATATTGAAAAACACCATTAAATAATGTGAGGAATTGGATATAAGTGGTATTTCGGGAAATTTGGATATTATTGGCACAACCGTGAAAGTTATACAAGTGTATTTAACCTAAAAAATAGTAGAGAGTCATGTTTGATAAAAATGTATAGTGGAGTGACTAGGTAAAAGTTATGTCACATATGCATAAATATGAATTGATTTATACCTAATTGATCGATGAATTACGTGCAAAAAAAAAAAACATTTATTCACAACTTTACCAGGAACGAATTAACAATTTTCTGAGTGTCAACAGCAGGGTGATGGCATGAATGGTCCATCAACATTTGAAGCTGAACACGAGGAGCTGAAAGAAATAGTAAGGAGGACGGTAACTGCTGCTACTTCGGCTGTTGAGCACAACGATCAGAAACTGCGGCTCATTGATGATTTGCAGCACTTGGGAGTGAGCTACCACTTCGAGGGCGAGATTGAAGCCGAGTTGCTTAACATGACCAGTACGGATATGCTTTCTGACTCGAATGACCTCAACTCAATCGCGATTTGGTTCCGCCTTCTCAGACAACAAGGTCTAAATGCTTCTCCTGGTAAGTACATAATGTGAATAATATAAAAGCAGTGACAATAGGATTTAAGTTTGACTTTTTCTCAATAACTCCAAGTTTAATTAGATGTTGGGCATGTTTAAAGTAAAGTTTAATAGATAATAATATTAATATTTGGCAAAAATATCATAACTAGCTAAAATTGTGAAGCTAGTGGAATTAAGAAAAAAAAAATTGAGAATCACAAGTGGATAGATATTTGTGGGTCAGTAGTTCAGGGGTGGTAGATAATGGTGGTAAAGTTAAACCACAATTTGGTGTTGGAGTTTGACTATTAATAACTTTTGGTGTGTGTATGTGTTTCTCCGTCCCAGCATCCGTCAAACTAAACTTTCTCCGTTCCATCCAAATCCAATTAGCATTTAAATAATCAATTAACACAATTGGAACCTATAATGTGTGGCCACGTGGATGGAGAGCAGCGGAGGGCTGCAACCCGTAAAACAGCCAAATTCCGCCCGCTTGTAAATATTCCAAAACAGTTGTTGAGTTTATAAGCGTTTCCGTTGACACACCAAACTCTATGAGTATGCAGAGCATTTGATCCAATTTTTCTTATATGCATGCAGATATATTCGAGAAATTCAAGGACGGGGAAGGCAATTTCGTGGTGTCATTGGCCTCTGATGTTCCATCCCTACTGAGCTTGTACGAAGCCTGTTTTCTGGCCATACCAGGAGAAGATATTCTGGATCAAGCGCTGGCCTTCACTACTCAACACCTTGGCTCCTATGCAAGTAATTATAGTGGTAATAAGATAACGAATCCCAAGTTGGCGGAAGAAGTAAGGTTTGCCCTGCTAAGGCCAATCCGAAAGCGCTTGCCGAGGCTGGAGGCTAGGCGTTTCATCGACACTTTTAACATGGATGACCAGTCCTCGTCCCATGATATTTCTGGGTCGCTGTTGAGGTTTGCCCAGTTGGATTTCAATATCGTGCAACGCCTACATCAGGAAGAACTCCGTGAAATCCAACAGTAAGTAGTCCTACTTAATATTTTCTCCGGTAGTAGATTGAAAATTCAAATAAAAACACAGATTAATTGCTTTGTGGAAGTTGGAACTTCTGATATATAGGTGGTGGGTAGATTTGGACGTGGCGACCAACTTCAAATACGCAAGAGACAGAATTGTGGAGTGCTACCTGTGGGTAATGGGGATGTATTTTGAGCCCAAGTATAGCCAAGGCAGGAGGCTACTGACCAAGTTGATAGCGGTCATGTCTCTTGGGGACGATACTTACGATAACTATGCTACATATGAAGAACTCGCTCCCTTCACCGAGGCCATTGAAAGGTACGTAATAATTCATTAACCAACTAGCTAGCTAGTTGAAGAATTGACTACTACTCAATTTAATCAATAACTGGTCGCTCGCATGCATGCCATGCAGGTGGGACATCGATCTCGTGAGTAACCTTCCAGAATGCATACAGAAGCTTTATGCCTTGTACCGCTATAGGTTTGACGAGATTGAAGAGGCATTTGCTGCAGGCGGAAGGCCATTTGGTGCAGTTTACGCGAAAAAGGCCGTAAGTAGTACATATCATATATGTCCAACTAGCTACTGAATTCAATCATTATCAAATTCGAATCGATATATTATATATGCAGCTAGACACACTGCTGAAAGCCTACCTAATGGAGGCCAAGTGGAGGGACGAGGATTATCGGCCGAATCTGGAAGAGTACATGCAAGTTTCATTAGTGACAACTTGCTTTACGGTCCTCACGACTGTTTCATTCCTCGCCGTGCCCGAAGCCGCAACTGAGGACACATTTCACTGGATCTCCACCGACCCTACTGTGCTCTTGGCCTCCAAAACCGTCTGTAGGTTAATGGACGACATTGTCTCCCACAAGGTAACGTAGGGTAGGGTAGGTAGTTTGCACGTGCGCTAATAATTCATTACAATATTCTTTAATTACATTGGTTACATGAGTGCATGCAGTTTGAGCAAGAAAGGAAGCATGTCCCATCCGCCGTAGAATGTTACGTGGACAAGACGGGGCTGTCGGAAGAGAAGGTGGTGGGAGTGCTTAATGAACAGATTGCCAAGGCGTGGAAGGACATGAACAAAGAGTACCTGATGACGAACAGGCCGACAAATGGGATGGCGACTAATAAGCCTATCCTCGATCGGATGCTTAATCTTGCGAGGGTTATAGATGTGATCTATAAGGAGGATGATGGCTTCAGAAACTCTCATCTGCTGAAACACTATGTTGTCTCCGTTCTCCAGGAACCTGTTTCCCTTGTTGCTGTTTAGCACTGGAGAAAATGCATGCGTGATATTACGTAGTACTGAAGGTTCTTTTGTTTCTATACCCATCATTATGTACTGCTAGCGTACGTCTGGTGTGTTTAATAAAGCTAGTATATGTATGATGGGTTTAGTTGTTGTGTGTTTATGGATAGGGTTGATCTATGTGCTCAATGTACTTGGCTTCCTCTTTTGATGGGTTTTACTTCTTGTAATACCTAATTGGAGGATGTTCCTTCTTGTTTTGGATTGAATTTTTCCCCCTTGTTTTTGTTTCAGCGATGGGGTTGCTACTGGCTTCATACCTTATGTTATGATGATGAATCATATTCTCATTTCCTTTCCTATTTCCTCTTTGTATTTTATGCCCTTTTTAATAAAATATTTCCATTTTTACACCCAAAATATATGGGGTTTTCTGGTGCACTGTTTTTTATATGAATTAATTAATGGGTTAATTTCATGGTTGGTCACTGAGATTACAAAAAATGTTTAAATTTGGTCACTCGAAATATTTAAATTCATTGATGGTACTTCAGTTTACTGAAACCGTTCATGTTTGGTCACTCCCCGTTCAACTCCGTTAACTTTTGCTTACGTGGCGGTCAACTCTAAAAGTTGACCGTTAAATGTGTGACGTGGCAATTAAAAAATTATTAAAAAATAAATTTAATCTTTATATAATTTTCACCTCATTTTCACAAATATAAAAAAATAAAAAATAAAAGGCCAAATTCACCTGTATAGCCAAAACTTTGACGGTTTTGCCAAATATAGCCACTTTTGGAGAAATACCAGAAATAGCCACTTCCGTCCAATTGTTTGACGGTGTTAATTAACGTGCTGATTGGACAAACGGCAGCGGTTGACGTGGCATATTTTATACAAAAATAATGTAAGTGGAAAATAAACAAAATTCTATCTTTTTACAATTAAATAAAAAATTATAAAAGTAAAAAACAAAATTATCTTTCTCTCCATCACCAACACCTCCTGTTCACCTCCCCTTCATCAATCATCAACCAATAATAAAAACAGAAGCTTCCTCTTCTGCAAACCTCCACAACCTCCCCAGCCCAAATAAAAATCAATCCCTACCCATTAATCCCCACCCAGCTTTCGTCGACGATAGCACCACCACCATTTGAAACCTTCCATTCCCCAAATCAATCCGATACCACCACTACCATTTCGATTAATGGAGATGCTGTTCTACGATGTTCTTCAAGAGACTTCCACGACGTTTGGTGGCGGCGACCCGCTGGCCAGCAAAACTGAAGTCGTCGACCCAGTGGTGGTGCCGACAATAGAGAAGGAGCCTCCGTCTGGCGCTCGATTCTCCTTGAATGTCTTCTGGAGCTCGATTCTCTTCCGATTCTCCGTTGCTGCCGGTTCTGGGTCTCGCCGCCGCCACCAAAATCCCATCTTCCAACGACGCCTACTCTAGCACTTTGGATGTTGAGACCGGATCTGGATGCCGGGTCACTAGTTGGATCTGTATCCAGACCAAATCTCGCCGCCGGGTCCCTAATCCGATCTGCATCCATACCAAATCTTGCCGCATCTTCCTCCTCTAAAGCTAAAAACAGAAATCGGCCTAGGAACGAGGAGAATGGATCCGCGCAAAAGGAAACGGAGGTGGCGGAGCGGGGGACGTCGTCGAGTACGAGTGCGGCAAAGCTAGGGACGTCGTCGGAGCAGCCCACGATTCAACACTGGGGTCGCCGATTGACCAGCAGAGCCAAATCACTCTGTTCCGAAAAATCACGGGCAAGACGGCTTGGAAACAGGAAAAGAAGTAGCGGCGTCGGAGTTCACCAGCGGCAACGAGGAGTCTCTTTCCTCCTCTCGACGACTGGGCTCGGCAATTGGAGGAGAATGGTGAGTAGTGTTTGGGTTGGAATAGAGGTAGGCGATGGCTGAAATTCTGGGAGTGAAGACAGGGGAGGGGAGTTCGATAGGGGAAGAGAGATTTGGGAGCTTGGCAACGGTGGCGAAGACTGACGGGCGGTAGCTGCTGGTTTTAATGGAGGCGAGAAGGAGATGAAAAGATGAGACGATTGGAGCAGAGGGTAGAGGGCAGATCGAGATGGAAAGGAGTCTTTTAGTTTTTTGTTTTCTTAGCTGTAGGAGAAAGAACAAATCGAAGGATGAGGAGAGTAGCAGATGGGAGAAGAAGAGGGGTCTTGGAAGAGGGTTCGAAGAGATTAGGTCAATAGGGATAGGGCAATTTTTTTTTTTTTTGTAAATGATGTGTCTTGTGAGTGCTGAGTTGGAAATGAAATGGAGGGTGAGTTGGCAGCCAAGTCAGCGTTCCGTTAATTTAACTAACGGTGTCATTGACGCCGTCAAACTATGTAACGGAAATGGTTATTATTGTCATCAAACTTTCAAATTCCTGGCTATTTCTGGTATTTCTCCAAAAGTGGCTATATTTGTCACAACCGTCAAAGTTTTGGCTATGCAAGTGAATTTGGCCAAAATAAAACCCCTCATTTTTTATCCCGTCCAACAAACCTCCTAATTTCTTACCCCCTAATTTTTTACCCCCTAATTTCTTGAACGTTTTTTGTAATTTCAGTGACCAACCATGCAATTAACCCATTAATTGATGGTATTCTATTTGATCAAAAGGAACATGTACCAGGTAACATGCATGTGGAACATATTCCCAAAACGATATTGTTTGTTTTGGTCTCACACCTTCACTGTTTTTGTCTTTGGGTGCATATCAAGATGACTTCCCATACGTCACCCATAATTGTAGTGCTTCAGAGTGAACATGTTTACATTTCAGAGTTTTTACAAGAACTATTATATTTCACGCCAATAAGCATCTTGTCAGTTAAAGTCGGTTTGTAACTTATGCACCATATATCTCTCACGTGCTTTGTCGGTGTGGGATTCGCCTAACATGTTAAATACACCCACTCTTGGGACTCAACCTCCTCATTGAAGTTTTCCCTACCATCGTTCAAAAAAGACGCCCAGAGGCTCTGATACCACTTATAATATTCTCAGTTTTGGAAGAAAGCCTTAAGATTGTAACTCACAATAATGTTTTTGTTTGCTTATATTGGATGCAGTATATGGCAAGAATACATATAGCCTGTCACTTAGCTTAGACTTTAACACATTTTGATGCAGTATATGGCAGGGCTACTTACGTTCTTTGAGAACTTATATGGTTGATCGTCTTGTATCTCTTGATGTGGCTAGGTATTGTAGGCGTACAATTAGAAGTGTAGTACTTTTTCTTTTGATTGAATACAGAGTGGGGAGATAAGTATGTGTTCAAGTGCTGCATATTTTTCTTCTTCTTCTACATTATTTATTGAATGAATCAAAAGGGTCTGATTCAAAAGGAGAACAGTAGCTATAGTTGTTGCACACAACAATCCTAGTCAACTTAGGATTGAAGGAAGTCAGCAGGGTCAAGATGGACTCAAGTGGAAGACTTTACAAGTTTGGAACTAGAATGACACTTTTCCATACGTTGTCGTTTTGCTTTATTTATTCTTTCAATATGTTAAACGCGTATTAGTTACAAAATAATGAATCCTACCAAGCCACGTGTCGGGCTCTGGTTTAAAGGATTCCAACAACGGTTAACACTGTTTGTGTATCCGTTGTAATCTTCTCCCCCCCTTTCTGATATAAATATAAAACCCCAAAAGAGAGGACAATAGGTTTTCTACTGATCCTCCACCCAATCCAGTCGTCTCCTTTCTTATGGTATCAGAGCGGGTTTTCGCCGTCTAGGACTTCTAGTCTTCCGCAGCAGCTGTATCCATGGCGACGAACAACAACAATGAAGAGTCATCAGCCATGACAACAACAACTATCAACACTACTGGAAACACTAGTGGAGGTTCTTCAACAATTTCACCAGAGTTCGTCTTTGGTAAACCTTTCTATCAAAACCCTAACGAGAATCTATCTCAGTCTATCGTTTCAGAATTACTAGATGGTAGTAATTACCAGATGTGGGCTAGATCTATTCGTATTGCTCTCAAAACCAAGTATAAACTTGGGTTTATTGATGGGTCGATTGAAGTTCCAGATCTGAGAACCCACCCTAATGAGTATAGGGCTTGGGATGCTTGCAATACAGTTGTTTTATGTTGGATAATGAACTCCTTGCATAAGGACATTACGCGAAGTGTGCAAAGTCATGAGGTAGTACAACTTCTTTGGGAAGAGCTTAAGACAAGTTTGGTCAAGCTAATTCCATCAAGTTGACCAACCTGGAGGATGAACTTCATGCCACCAAGCAAGGGAACATGACTATGACTCAGTACTACACTCTTGTGAAGGGACTATGGGAGGAGTATACCAAGTTCAATCCCATTGTTCCCTGCACATGTGCTCCAGGACAAGTGACTCCATGTCCAGCAATGGAGGCTTTTAAGACTAAACATGAAACTGATTACTTAATTAGGTTTCTTAGAAGAGTAGCACCTGCATTTGATGTAGTTAAGACTCAATTACTTATGATGAAGCCACTGCCCACAGGGGTTGCTGCCTATGGTGATTTGCTTCAACATGAGCAGAAGTTAAAGGGGGATAAGGGTAAGAGTGCACAGTCAGTTGCACTTTCCTCTTTTGGGAATCAATCTTGTTAAGGAAATACTGCAGGGAGATCACCACCAAGGTTAAATACTTCTGAAGTAGGAGATACTGGTCTCTTTTGCAGATACTGCAAGAAAAACAATCACACTATTGTTGATTGCTGGAAGCTGAAAAGGAAGAACAAGGAATAGGGTTCAGGTAATGGTCAGCGTTTTGCTGGAGCAGTAAATGAAGGGGATGAAGGGAATTCTGAGTCCTTCTCTAATGGAGGTTCTGATAGTTAGAGTTCTGGTAATTATGGTACTGGGAGTGTTCTGAGTTTGCAGTTCACCAATGATGAGCTGAGTAAGCTAAAACTTTTAATGCAAGGAGTAGCAAACTCACCTTTTCCATCACCCTCACCACCTCATTCACCAAGTATCCATCATGCTACTTTTTCTGCTTCACAGTAGATGCCTCAATTCCATAACTCAGCTGGTAAATATATTCTCTCCTCATATATTCACTGCCATTCAGCTGTCCT